GGGCTTAAGAACAGAATCATAATTGTGAGATGTAAATGCAAATCTCTTATTAAAAAAAATGTCACTTGAATTTCATGCTCTTAACAGCACAAAACACATAGTATTAAGTTATTTATTTTCTTTTTTATTTGTTGTTTTATATGTTTTATTTAATTTTTTTTTTACTTTTCTGTTTTTCACTTGTTTTTCGCCACGAATGTCATAAACAGAATGTAAACTATAATTATGAACAATCAATCAATTATTGTGTTATTTTGATCATGGTGGCTTAACCTGTCCATATTGACATCAGTCTAATGTAACTAGTTTCTTCCAAGTCTCTGCAAAAAATACAGCTCAAATGATGCAAATGACACAGAAATGTTGTATTTTGTTTCAAAAATCTGCATAGTCTGTGAAAAGCCGTCACTCATCTCTGGTTACTGTTTGTTGCAGGAGGGAGGAGAGGAAGGTGAAACATGATGAAATCCGCAAGAAGTACGGTGAGTAACGTCAATCCTGCACTTCTGTCATTAATATTCACAAGAGTTCGCTCACAGCTACTCATTATGACTATTTTCTGCATTTTACAAAAACAGTAGAGCCATGAAAATGTCAAATGGCATAAACAAAATTATGGAAATGATATAGTGACTAAAACCTGGCAAACAAATTTCACATTTTAGGTTATTCAAATGCATCTATATATAGGGTTGGGAATCGAAAATCGATTTCAATTCCAGAATCGGATACTTGTTGTAAAATTAAAATTTCTATTACACCTGTCTAATCCTGTGTGCGATTTGTTTTTCTTCATCTGTGAGGACCTGACAATAAACATTATTTGATTTGATTTGATTTTATTTGACCTAGCGGTCTGCCGCTGACCTAAAGAGAGCATCTGTCATGAATGAAACCGCTTCACAGTCTTTTCAGCCAAACATTCAAGTTACAAACATTCAAATCACAGTTTATAGTTCAGATATAAACTCTGATGTGTACGGTAGCGATTAAAATGGAGTAAATCACCTTTTGAAAGTAATTTGACGGTTCAAAAAAAGATTTATCGATTACATTGTTACGCCAGTAGGTGGCGAAAAGGGGCTGTTAAAATGTATTTGTCTTTGAAGCATACAAAAGATTTTTTTCAAGAACGCTGATTCATCCAGTAATGAAACAAGTACATCTTGAGTGAGTCATTGAATCATTCATTCATAAATTACATGCGATTTTGTTTAGTTGTCTAATGTTTTTTCATCAGAATCGTGAGAGAACCACAACTTCCATTGAAAAACTTAAAAGTAAAACTCAATTTATCCAGAATCATGCAGCTCTATTTTGCGGGGGGCGTTCCTTATTTTCCTCACTTTCCTTTGCTTTTAAATAGCTTGTAAAAGCGGCGTGCGCATTTTACTTTCACTTTTGAATTAGCGGCAGTTCGGCATCAATTGCTTGAATGCAACATCAAAATACAACGTCAAACTCACTTTAGCCTATATATAAAACATATAACTTTTATTAACAAAACAAATACACCATGCTATAGGGCAGGCTATGCCTAATATAAAATAACATAACTTGCATAAAGTTTAAATAGGTATACAAAACTGGAAACAAGTAAACATGTATAATATATAACCAAATAAATAAGAAACGTAGAACGTTTATTAGCAAAACGAGTAAGAAAGCTTGGAGGCACGGCGTACACCTTGATGTCAATTAAAATAAATAAATGACACAAAGTTTAAATAAAGTAAAAATCAGCAAATAATGTGGAAC